CATATGGATCACATACCGGTTCTCAAGTACTCCAAGTAAAGAATAAAATTAAAAGACATGGAAAGGGGTTTATGTTCCATCCCAGGGGGATCTTTTAGGACTCCTCAGGAAAGGCAATCAGCTAGTCTGCCAAAGTAATTAAGCACAAGAACATTTACCATAAAGCCCACATCAGTTAAGTGAACAGGGATGAATTTTATTACAGTGCACTGTCAGCTCTGAGCCTGCAGGTGCTAACCACCGAGACGTGGCGTTACTCGGTCCTGTCTGCAGGCTGCCCACTGTGACAGAGAGCTTCGCCCTTCTTGTCAGCTCTGAAACAACAGGCTGCTTTCACCTGCTCTGGAGTGACTTCTGCTGCCTTCAGAGAAGCCCTAGCACACGTGGTTTCCCCTGAGCCTGGGTATAAATTGTAGGGGCAAGTGGTGGGGTTGGCTAGAAAAAGGAGCTTTGAAAGGTAGAGAGGATGGGTGTGGGAGAAAAAGCAGGGGAGCTGGGTAGCAATTCAATTAGTAAGGTAAGAAGAATGGGAAGGTTTAGTAAATTAAGAAGTAAATGAAGAATAAACAAGCTGCTCAAAGTTTTGAACCATTCTGCTTAGGTGAAGTTGATGGTATCTCTCTCACTGAAAAGAGGAAAAGTTAAAATTTCATTGTATTATACTTTCTCCACAGGAAAAGAAATATTGCTGAGGAATATTGCTTTTCCAACATTAGGCAGCCTCAATATCAGCTTTATTAAAGAGTTAGCACCAAAGCTAAGGATCAGATTTTCTCAACAATCTAATCAGGAAATGGATATTCATCAATTATTGTAACATGTACAAATGGCACCCAAAGCACCTTAGCGCTGTTTCCTTCTGCAAAGAATTATGAGAGTCAAAATGAAAGCCCCAAACTGACTAAATGGCAGCCTACTAAGTCAGGGACCCAGAGAGCTTCTATTCAACAGAAACCCTCACAAGAGTAAGACTGTAAGAGTTTCTAAGGGGACAAATTCAAAAATCATATAGCACATTTAAAAAACTCATCAAAGGCCACGTGTCTGTCACTCAGAGTAGTTAAGAGTAGACAGGTAAGCAGGTAAGGCTCCTGTGTTTAGAAGCCAATAAATCTCTAACTCATTATAGACAGGCGATCCTAAAGACATTGCTGGGAGACAGACATGACTAGCCTATTGAGGAAATGACATGGAATGGGTCTGTGACAGAAATTGATGGAGGTCTCATAGCACATGCATGTGCAGGCACTCGTATATCTGAGCTTCTCTCTAGGCCTAGAACGAGTGCAAAGAGCTGTGGTAGAAAGTGATTTGCAGCCTTACTCTCCACTCTTTGCAAGAGGGCCTGTGGTTTCCTTACATTCAAAGGCAGTGGGAGGTGGGAAAAGGAGAGGAGACTAGATGACTGCTACTCAGAACCAAGCAGTGTTGCCCAGGAGAGGACTTAATGGGAGGATAAATTTGGGGCCTGATTCTTTGACAGCACCTCCAGTAATAGCTTGTAGAGCAGGGGGTGAGAGCCAGCTCCACACATTCATCATAATAGTGCAACAAGATGAAGGTCTTTAGGGGAGAGTCTATGGAATCAGAGGTAAGAAAATGAAGCCCATGTGGAGGGTGAGACCGCTAGCTCTGGCAGATTGTCTCTACAGGAGGCTGGGTATAATTGTTTTATGCTCACGAAGAAATTATTAGCTGCTTTCTCTCCAATATACCAGAAATAGTGGCAAGTTTTCCCCCTCCTGAGAAGGTAATGCTACCAAAAGGAAAGATTAAGTTTTAAAATGATTACAGAACTTTGTTTATCCTATATGCACCATTTTAGAAAGACAGAACTTCTATATTCTCTCCTCTTCCCTTATTCTGTAAACTGACTACTTTCTCACATAGTAAAGAAACACTCTGTCCCTAGAAGAAAGTTCTATGGTATCTGAATCTTAGGGTTTGGTAGCATAGCCCATGACTCAATAGTTCAGTTTGTTTGACAAATATTTGAATAACTACTATGTGCAGGTACTATGTTAGGCAATGGGGGAGGGTGAATGAAATTTGATCCCAGGTAGCAAGGAACTTACAGGTAGTGGAAGAGATATATAACATAGATGGATTATCTCATTATGATGTTGTAAGGGCTAGACAGACAAAGAAGACAAAAGGTATCATAGGCACACAGAAAAGGGGTACTTAGCTCAATCTGAGGACTTAGGAAAGGCATCCTGAAGGAGATGGTGCTCAAGAGGAGTCTTGAAATATGAGTTAATTTAAGCAGGTAAGGAAAGGTAAAAATGTTCTGACACATTTTCTTTTTTAAAAAAAATTATTCATTTTTTAAAATTCTTTTTGGCAGGGGAGATAATTGGGTTTTTATTTATTTATTTTAATGGAAGTACTGGGGATTGCACCCAGGACCTGTGCATGCTAAGCACACACTCTGCCACTGAACTATACCCTTCCCTGACACATTTTCTTCTAGGGATGGAGATAATTACCCACTTTTCACTAAATCTGACTAAAGAAACCTTACTAGGTAAGTTAAATTAGGTTAATGCATTGAGAAACAAAACAAAACAACCAGCCAACCTTTTCCAGTAAACCAAAGAGAAAAATGATAGCTTCCTTTCCCAGGATATTATTTTAAATATTTTCAGCTAAGGGGTGGCAGGATACCTTAGTGAAAGCCACGAGACCCTTGCCTGCTGGGGTCCTGTTTGCATCTTTTTGCTCAGTGCTGACTCAAGATGCTCATGGCAAGTTCTGTACCTCCTCTCCCATAAACTAAATGTAGACACAAAGCAACTACACAAGTTGAAGGCAGGCCTTTGAGTCTCACATGGGAGTGGATGGATCTCAGCTGTGCTGTGCCCACCCTCTACGGTGTGTCACTTTCCAGCTGGTGATACAGCTGCTTCATGTAAAGCCAGACTGAAGCCTCTAGTCTCTGATCTCCACCAAACCACACTGAAGAGACTAAATGGCTCTGCTTTGCAGCTGCTTGTTAATTATAACACTTTCCTTGGTTCTCTTTTGGCTTATAAGACAATAATATACATTTGGGGAGGTCCTCAGTAAGAAATACACAAGAGAATTTTTAACCTCATGAAGAACCTGAAAATACACCTTACTGCCAAGAGCAGTAAGGCATCCAAACAGCTATAAAACAAAAACAGCAGGTCAAACAGCATCAGAACACACAGATTCCTTCAGCAGGGCCTCTAGCTTACATAAATGACAGCAACCCATCACTCAGCCAATGAAAGGGTTTTTTAAAGAATCCTTAAAATCATCCTTAAAATTCAATGAGTCTGCAAGATAAAAACAGCATTAAATGCCTTAACTTGTTACTTTAAAAAAGGAAGAAAAACAATGCATAATGCTATCTATAATTCACTTCAAAGTGGCTTTAGTTGTCTCAAAGCCCCATTTCAGATAATTAAAACCTCTTGGCTGTCCTCTTGTTACCCTGGAGGGAATTAGAAGCTAGTAAATTCTACTGTGTTGGAATAAACAATTCAGCTCATCATTGAGGGGGACTTTCTGGTAACAACTCCAAAACATACTTCCTGGCTATACTAGATTAACCCAGGAGCTGCCAAGACTATATTTCCTGCTGTCTATTAAGATCTGAAGCAGACTTTTATAGTGGGGCTCCACAGACACATCTGGGAAGTACTACCAGCGGGGGAGCCCTATAAGCACTTCTCAGGCATCTTAACATCCACTTCCATAGCTTAGAACTTCAGGTCAGCTGATGATTCTGCAACACAATAGCAGCAGTATAAGGCCTTGGAAGACGGAACTGTTCATTCCAGCCATCTTTTCATGCACCAAACAAACATTTATTGTACCACATTGCACTGTGCTAGGGGCAGAGATTCCAGAAATTAAAAAACCATGGTCTCTGTCCTTAGGAGCTCACCATCTAGTGATGGACAAACATGTAAACAACTATACCTCAGTGTGATAAGTGCTTTAAGAGAGAAACATACAAAGTCCTGTGGCGATGCAGGTGTGAATCATCCTGCTCCAAAGAATCCAGAAAGCTTTAAAGGGAGGTGACATCTGAGCTACATTTTGAAGCATTTAATAGGATTTTGCTAGTGAAAACAAGAACAGGAAGACATTGTAGGTAAAAAGCATGTACAAAGGCACAGAGGTATGAAATTTGATACTCTGTGACCAAGTCTAATTCCGCTAGATCTTAGGATAGATGAGAGAGTGTCAGTAAATAAGGCTAGAAAGATTGCCTGGGATCAAGGTGTTATGTGAAGAAATTCGGACATTATCCTACCCCTATCAATGATGGGGAACCACACAAGATTTAAAATCTACTCACTTTTCTAATGAAATACTTTATACAGAGAAAAAAGGTGTAGAGAAGAACATACTGAAAGTCTGTGTACTCGATATCCAACTTAAGACAGCATTACAAATACCTTTCAAACCCTCCATGTACCTCTTATTTGCATGTCTGTCTCTCTCTTCCCAGTGGTAAACAATCTCCTGATTTTGGTATTTATCATTCCTATACACAGCTTTATTCTTTAACTAAATAGAAACATGTCTCTAAGTAACATATTGTTTTTTTGTGTTTTTAATATGTGCAAATTATCTTATATTTGATAGCTATTTCATTCAATATTATATTTATGAGATTTTTGTTGATTTGTGTAGATCTAGTCCATTTTGGTGTTGTATAATATTCCAGTATGTAAAAATACCACAACCCGTTCTATTGTTGGAAATTTAGGTGGTTTCTAACTTTCTTGGTATTAAAAACAATATTTAACAAGTATTCTTATCTTAGCGATCATTTGGAAAATTTTCTCCAAGAAATACAGCTAGGAATACAATTACTGTATTGTCAGGTTTGGGCAACTTGGACTTTACTAGATATTGCCAAACTGCCCTCAAACATGGTACCAATATACTACCACCAGCAGTGTAATGACCTGCCTTCTGAAATTCAACTCTAGTGATTAAGTAAACTGAATAGTGGCTACTATAAGGGAAAGACTGAAGGCAGAATAGTTAGGAAGCTCTTGAAATGTGAGGGGTTATGAGGCCTTGAACTAAAATGGTAGTTGTAGAAATGGAGAAGAATTCACTTGAGAAATATTTAGGAGGTAAAGCTGAAAGAATCTACTGACGAGGTGAAGGAGAGAAAAGATTCTAAAGCAATCTTGAGATTTCTGCTTTAGTCAGCTGAACAGATGATGATACTACTAATTGAAATAGTAAACATGGGAGGATATGGTTCTCAAATTGGCATATTCAATAAACTATATTGTTTGGAATATTTGAGGTACTTGTGGGATCTCTAGGTAGGTTATAAAGTTCAAGAGGCAAGACTATGCTGGTAGTAAAAACTATGAAATCTGTTCACCTACGGAGCTATAAAGAATCAGATATTCAGGCTCAAAACAGTTAAGAAAAAAATAAAGATAGCAGCACTTTCTAGTAGTTAACACTAGTTTCTCTGTTTCAAGGGGGAAAATTAGTTATATGCCCCCGATACAAGGTAGGTACCCTCCCCTTAAACTAATTCTATATCTGACCATCCACCTATTTAGACTAAAACCTTCAGTCTAAGGTAGAACAAGCAAGGATGAAACATTACAGCTTCATAACACTATACCTCAAAGAGCTACCAAGCTGTGCTTGAAATGTTATTACCGAAGGGGAGACGCCCTGACATCCTGTTTGACGATGGGAACAAGTCTTAGCTCCTTTGAGTGCCCTTAAGCATCTCTATAATTAACTGTGTTTTGAACTCTTTGCTCTTCCAGATCTATGTGAAGGTGTTTTTTAAGCAAAAAGAGAAGCAGTTACTGAGAAATTGTGATGAATAAGCCTTCATTCTTTGCCTAATTTGAAGAAAGTGTGAATTAGAAGCTCAGGAAATGAGATAATAGCTGTGATCCAGAAGTTTCACTCTAGTGGGATACAGGAACAGTTGGGAATCTATTGTACAACCAGTGTCAGGCCTGATTTTCAGTGGTAACTGACCTCAGAAAATGCAGGGTTAAAAACCTGGAGTTATATTCTAATAAAATAATGTGTTGGTCTATTTTTAGGGAAAAAGTAGAGATATCCAGTGCCTACAGAAACCAGGCTATGAAAGTCATGTTGACTAGGGTTTGGCAAGACTATGAGCTTTGGAATCATGTAGATCTGGGTTCACATCCTCGAGATATGTTGTTCTGGACAACTGTCCAAGCCTCAGCAAACTTTTCTATAAAACGGGAATAAAATTATTTTCCCTGTAAAAAAGAAAAAGCAAAAAAAAAAAAAAAGAAAGAAAGAAACCAGGCTAAAATGCCACATTTCAAACTCTAAGGATTCAACTGCATATATCCAGAAGGAACTCTACTTCAAAATGACACCTGCACCCCAATGTTCATACCAGCAATATTTACAATAGCCAAGACATGGAAACAGCCTAAATGTCCATCGACAGATGACTGGATAAAGAAGATGTGGTGTATTTATACAATGGAATACTATTCAGCCATGAAAACCGACAACATAACGCCATTTGCAGCAACATGGATGTTACTGGAGAATGCCATTCTAAATGAAGTAAGCCAGAAAGAGAAAGAAAAATACCATATGAGATTGCTCATATGTGGAATCTAAAAAAAAAAAAAAAAAACCAAAAAACAAAAAACATAAATATAAAGCAGAAACAGACTCATAGATATAGAATACAAACTTGTGGTTGCCAGGGGGATGGGGGGTGGGAAGGGACAGACTGGG